TTAGGGGCCTTCACACATCGCCTCCGTGACGTGGTACCCTCAAGCACGCACACGCGGCGGCCGTGCCCGTACCTTGGTGTAGGCGGTTCTCCCCTGGCTAGGGGTGCGCTCCCCGCAAAACGCACACGCGACGTTCTCGTCCGCCGCGGTCAGCGTGGTGGTCCTCCAAGACGTAACCAAAACCGCTACGGACAACAAAAAGGAAAAAGAAACGCAACACTGGTAAAGCCTACAACAAGAGTTCGCGTTCAGGTGCACACGCTCGAAAGAGTAGCAACACCAGTCGAGGACATGCAGGACGTCAGTATACCCGGAAAGGCGGGCCTAGGGGAAAAGATCGACGGAAAATTGGAAATTCCGGTGTGGGGTAGAAGAAAAGAAATAACAGGAATCAAGATACTCTACACGACCCCGGCCACAAACACACAAGTTGCTTTCCCTGCATACACGAAGAAGCATATGAAGCAACGGGAGACTGGGCACGTCGATCCTTCGGTACTGTGTCCAGCTCTCGGTGCATACAGCTATGTACTGAATACTTCAAGAACTATGTTACCAACGACATCACCCGCCCCCACACCAACGATGATGGCACCATACCAGTCGAGATACCAAAAAAAACAGCCTTAGTTCGACGCTCTCCGCACGCTGTCGCCTTCGTTTACACCGCGAACGCTTGCTTGCTATCGTCATTATCACCACGACCACCACCACCTCTATATATACCGCCTACCGGTACCGCATGGGGGACCCCGGCAAAATAATATCGACAGCATCTCGGGGAGGGGGGGGGCGTATGCGCCGTGAACACCCCTTCCCGTAGAACAATTGGGGCCAGAAAAGGGTAGGGAGTAAAACAAGGTAAGAGGTGGGACGATCATCAAAATATTACAGGAATGGCCCTCCCCTCGCTGGCGCTATGCTCCGTATGCCNAGTTGCTTTCCCTGCATACACGAAGAAGCATATGAAGCAACGGGAGACTGGGCACGTCGATCCTTCGGTACTGTGTCCAGCTCTCGGTGCATACAGCTATGTACTGAATACTTCAAGAACTATGTTACCAACGACATCACCCGCCCCCACACCAAC